AGTTATTTGTACATTATTTATTAATTAACGACAGCTGTCTAATGTATTTGCTCTTTGTGTGTTGTTATACACCATCAACATTCATTTGAATATATAAATATATAAAAAAAATTAAAACTATTTTGGACGCGTATGATTCTTTTTAAAATTAAACAATTTTCTTATGCTCTTATTGCAATGAAAAATTATTAGTAAGGACAGTAGAAAATTCGAAACTATTATAGACGCGTATGATTCTTTTTAAAATAAAACAATTTCTACTGCCCTTACTGCAATGGAAAAATTAATGGGAGGGCCTGGTTCATCAGTAGTTTCGAAATTTGATAACAGATGGCGCGCTAATGCATCATAATACAGTAGAAAATTCTTATATTTTTAAAATAATCATGCATGTCTAAAATAATTTCAATTTCGTATAACAGATGGCGCTCTAATGCATCATATATAATAATATATATAATATGAAATTTTATTACAGCGTGTTATGTGTGTGTTTTGTGTATAAGTTTCACACGCAAATAACAAAAAAACAAAAAATAAGGAAAGTTAAAACTAAAAAATGCACTGTATATATATGAAAATAATATTTACAAAATTACACTCATGGACGAAACTTAAGGAAGTCAAAAGACGTGTAATTGTAAAAAAGTAAATTTTCGGAAGCTTATCAATGTTGAAATAAAAGACTTAGCTAACTATATAACTTAGAAATATTTGTTTTCACAAGTTTCATGCTCTAAGGATTCTTTACCCAATACTATACTCATGGATAGAACTTAAGGAAGTGGAAAGCCTGACGTCGCAGATAGTATATTTCTTTGAAGGAGACAGAGGCAATTTTGTTCACACTTAGTTATCTCGTGTGTCTTTAATAATGGTCACTGTGTATCAAATATATTTCATAGTTATTGTCTGAACCCGGATATATATGCTAAAATGTACAACTTGCCCTCCCATTAATTTTTCCATTGCAGTAAGAGCAGTAGAAATTGTTTTATTTTTAAATGAATCATACGCGTCTATAATCGTTTCGTATTTTGACAACTTTCTTAAGTTTTCTCCATGAATATATCTTATAAAAAAACATATATATAGAAACATATAGAGAAGCAATTATAAAACGTATAGTTCTCAATAATCTTATATTAGCAAAATTATCGTTTAGATAAATGAGGAATAATAATTGTCAGCATCATATTTTATTGTTGAATAATGGCCATCCTTGAGTGACAATAAATGAATATGCTGAGGAATACAATATTGTTATTAATATTCTGTATTTATATTGATAAAACCATAACACAAAACAATTTTCTCTATATTACAATATATTCAATTATCATAATTATTTTTCTACAATAATGAGAGCCAAATATCTGGAAAGATAAATAATTATAATGATTTCAGAGAGCTATTAAAAACATCAATTAAAATTTTAGATTTTTAAAGCAAAAAACACACATGCTATATCCTTATAAAATAAAATAAATACGACTGGTTCTTATATTAAATATGTATTTTCTTTGTAATTAGATTAATTTATATTATAAATTATTTAAACCCTTTATTTATATGGCAAATAAAGGAATTGTTTGTATGCCGAGGAATACAATATTGTAATTTATATTCTGTATGTTTATTGATAAAATCATAACACAAAACAATTTTCTCTATTACAATATACATAATTATTATAATTATTTTTCTATAACAATAAGAGACAAATATATTTAGTGAAAAAAAAATCTGGAAAGATGAATATATATATATAATGATTTCAGAGATCTATTAAAAACATCAATTAAAATTTTAGATTTTCTAAAGCAACACACACACATGCTATATCCTTATAAAATAAAATATGAATACAACTCTTTCTTATATTAAATATATATTTTACTTGTAATTAGATTAATTTATATTATAAATTCTTTAAACCCTCTATTTATATGACAAATAAGGGAATTGTTTGTTAGATTAAATTTCATATCTTGTTATAAAGTTGTATAAAGACATTGTGTGTTTTATTTTCAAATACTTTTTCCATTATAAGAAAACTAAATAAAAGCTGTTTGTTCTAAACTATATTAATTATACTTTATATTTACTTTGAACGAGATATATATTAGAAGATGGAATGTTCTAGTTTATATTATAGTTCATATATCTGTCATATATGGATAGAGCATGATTGTATCATTTTATAAACTATATTTTTTATTGTACGATGCACTAGCGCGCCATCTGTTATCAAATTACGAAACTATTTTAGACGCGTAATATTCTTTTTAATATAAAACAATTTCTACTGCCCTTACTGCAATGGAAAAATTAAAGGGAGGGTTTGCTCATTAGTGGTGAACCCTCCCAGCGGTAGATTATACTTGCGAAACCGCTGGGATGGTTCACCACTGATGAGCCAGGCCCTCCCTTTAATTTTTCCATTGCAGTAAGGGCAGTAGAAATTGTTTTATTTTAAAAAGAATATTACGCGTCTAAAATAGTTTCGTAATTTTTTATTGTGTCATAATGTGTTTGGACCATAAGAATATTGAAGCAAAATATAAAAAAAAAAGTTGAAAGAAAATTATTAGTGGAAATATTTTTCCCCTCCAAAAAAAAACCCACAATGATAAAAAAAAACATATACAAAGTGAAAAACGCTTTTAAAAAAGAAAAGTAAATTGTTTTCGCTCAATTCAAAGTTTTGAAAAGTTTTAAATTTTATTGATTTCCAATAAAAAAAAAAAACAAGGGAGAACCACAGCCATGTATATAGATAGAGAAGCAAACAAGGATCACAAAACATATTAGTGCTCATTTATCCAAGGAATTTTATTGACTAACTGACCTTCTGCAAGAGTACAAGAGCGCCAGGAGCTATACGTCCTAAACACATTTAAACGATAATGAATAATTTGATGGAAATAATTCCACTCTTGGAATTATTCATTGAACAATCGGTAAAGACACATTAAAATATAAATCGGCGGAAATTGATATGTTTAGAAATCCGGGCATACCATGAAATGATTCAATGGGCGATAATTTGTAAGATAATATAAGAAACCATAAATGATGTCCTGTGTTGTGTGTGAAGTGCGCTGAAATTCACTGATATTTCGGAAGCCACTTAAACACTCTATACAATATAAGGGTACTTTTTGAGGTCGTTAGAAACTGTATGTACCCTGTAGGGAAACCACAAATAATTCTATATACAGTTACGAGCGTCATTCTTCATCTCTTAATCAGTTTTCGTCTCTGTCACCGTTTGCTTTTTTTTTTTTTGGAATGGCGCCCTCCTATTGGTTGGCTACGATCACGCCACCTTTGCCGCCCCCCCCCCCCCATTATGCTCCCCCCCCCCCCCACTCGCTTTTTCGTTTTTGTAACTATTGTGTTGGAGCGGGTCGCTCCTTAAATAAATGCATATATTAGTTAATAACCAAATGGAATCCTCTCTTTCTTTTTCCCAGTAAGAGACGCCTACGGAAGCCAACAGTACATAGACAGATAAAGCACATAGGCTATAGTTATTAACTAACATATGCATTTATTTAACATGCCAAAGATGCCCTGAAAATTATATAGAGTGCTTCGAGACAAGCAAAAAATATTTGAAAACGATTAAAACAAGGTATAAAATATAAGCGTACACCAAGAAGTCGTTAAAACTCGCTTGTAGGATAAGCAAAAAATTCTAACATAAGCCAAAAGTGCGTTAATACGCTTAAAATTGCCGTTGTATTTTTATTGAGTGCACGAACAAGCAACAAAACTCGGAAGCCAATTAGGGTGAGAAAGAAGCTCTACCTATTTAGGCGATTAACCCAAGTTTCCAGAGCGTACAGAGAACAGATATTCTAGAAAACTCTAGTATACACCTTTGTGCTCTTTGGAATGTACGAATAATTATTTGAGAAAATTATAACTTATTACAGTAGATTACTCTCTAGATTAACTCTATTGGTTCATCGATTACTCTGTAACGTTAAGATATATCCAGGAACCTTCAAGCATTTAAATATATATTAGAAAACATCAGAAAATGAAGAGCATATTAGGGAGCCATAAAATACGAAGAAAACTCTATTAAAAGCTTTATCATAAAATAAATGCCATAAAACGTTGAAATATGCGAGAAAACTAGAGAACGCTCTAGAAATGGCTGAGGTAGACACAATAAGAAGGTAGGTAATAATAACGCGAGTTATAAAACATTATAAATTATAGTTTAGGCTAGGAGGCCTATTCACATCGAGTTTACTATTTCAAATTGTCTAACGTCTCGTTTGGTCCATGTCAACTTGGGTAGAATCTCAGGTTTTATTATTAAATCTCGTTACCGTATATCCACTCCGCGTGTTCCTCTTACTAACAACGGAATTCAGCTTGGAATTTAAGCCCTTTTCTAGACAGCTGTGCCCATAAAGTACTCCTAAAATGATATAAATGGTACCGCCTCCATTGATCACCGAGGACGCTAAAATTGAAATAAATGTCATCCCCACCCACAAGAGTACGCAATAAAATGGAATAAATGAGCTCAAATCTTGACTTTAATTGCGTTTCACGTAATAAAACAGAGTTAAAATAGAATAATACACACGGATGTCCTATTCGGAATGAATACTACATGAAATATATTTTATATAATAATATATATGGGGTGAAAACACAAAGAGACACCACATTTCAGATGATACTTTATTAAAATAATTTGTTGTGTTGTGTATGAACCTATATATGTATCTTTGATAACTAAATATGTTTTGATATTACAAAGATATTTCGGTTCTATTTTTATTGTTGATATTCTTCGACCGTCAGCGAAAATATTTCAGCCATTTTAAGAGGAAAGATCGATAGAAAAGATCGATAAGAATGTCATCGATAACCAGAATCCAATCAGATTATAACTGTCTCAGCATGTTCATAAATCTTATGTGTTCAATATAGCCGTGTGTGTCAGGTTATTATGGCATTGTGATCCTGGCGTCAATATATACCTCATCTTATGTTTTAAGATGCTCATATAGACTTAGACTGAAAATCTAATGGTCCTTGGTTCGATCCCGAGTTTCGGCATCTTTTTTTAAGGGATCGTTGGAAGGATGGTATAAACCGTTGGTTTTCGACCGCAACGACCCGGGTTCGATTCCCGCATTTGGACACTTTTTTTCTGATTAAAAAAAATACTACAATGGCCCCCGATTCTTGCAAAAGTCCAACCCCAGCAGCGAGTGCAAGTAACCAAACGGGGCTCTGACACATTTGTAAGTGCAAAGTCGAACTGCTTATCACATATGTAGACATATGGTATACACTTACAGTAAAAGAAGTCGATTACTTCTACCCACCATGATTATAATGACCTGTACCACGTGTACAAGGGATAAGCAAAACAAAACAAACAATATGCTCATATATAAATATTTAGGCACGCATATGTAACAGTAGACATACCACCACATAGCAAAGTATATACAAATATTTATGATCCATATACCAAATATATGATAATCATTTATCATACTTGTATATAAATATATATGAGGTTATCTGTATATTTCACAAACCCTTATGAAAATTTCGAATTCACTAATGAATATGCAATTCACATTAGTATTATGAATTCAAATACATATTTATGGCATAGAGATTCTAATTGCTACGAATATATTATTTGTAATATGATTAAATATGAAATAAACATATATTCAATGAATCATTTTAATATATATCTTGTTCACAGAAGAATTTTGGCGTGTTGCAATTACAAAATATATTATATCCAAAATAAGCATTTTAAAAATAAATATAGATATATATTATGATGCACTAGCGTGCCATCTGTCATCAAAATTCGAAACTATTATAAACGCGTAAGATTATATTTGAATTTAAACAATTTCTACTGCACTTACTGCAATGTAAAAATTAAAGGGAGCGCCTGGCTCATCAGTGGTGAACCCTCCCAGCGGTTTCGCCAGTTTAATGCTGGGAGGGTTCACCACTTTTTAGCCAGGCCCTCCCTTTAATTTTTCCATTGCAGTAAGGGCAGTAGATAGTGTTTAATTTCAAAAAGAATCTTACACGTTTGAAATAATTTCGAATTTTGATAGATATATATTGTTTGTGTGAGAGTATTTTTCTCTATGATACACTAGCGCGCCATCTGTTATCAAATTTCGAAACTATTTTGAAGGCGTAAGATTCTTTTTGAAATTAAACAATTTCTACTGCCCTTACTGCAATTGAAAAATTAATGGGAAGGCCTGGCTCATCAGAGGTGAACCCTCCCAGCGGTGTAGCCAGTTTAATCTACCATATATTGTATTATAATTAGAGATGTAACGTTTATTATTCAGAAATCAATGACAATAACAATATTTTGTGTGTGTATATTGGAATTTAATTTCAAAACAATAAATTAAACCATAATATGTAAGCATAGTCATAACTTATACAAATATACATAAAAAACATTTACTATGTTGATGACTACCTGAGAAAAAATCAAATTATAATTGAATATTTTGCATAAATAAATGAAAATATACAAGGCACATAGTTTCCAAAATAAGGTAATTGATTTTGAAGCTTCTACCACCTTTTCATATGTCTAACATTTTGAGTCGCATGCTAAATGACAAACAAGATTTTCGAACTAAGAAATATTTTTGTCCATAGTAGTATTTGTTCATATTGTTTCATATGTTTCTGATATTTTAATGCATCTGTTTATGCTTTTTTTGTCGGACAAATACTACCCCATAGATGTAGGCAGTCTTCTATATATACCAAAATAGTTCACGAATTTATTGGGTTTAACTTGAGATCTCGAGATATCATTCGACCAGTACGTATCCTCAACCATGCACGTATATTTGCAAAAATTGTTTATAACAAACAAAGAATGTAATATATATTTTCTCCCCCTTTTAACATCATTAATATTTAAAATATGTAAAAATTGATTTGTGTATAAAAATTGAATATATCATCAATTTATTAACGTGATACTCCTGTTGAAGGACTGACAAGTCCGAAAGCTTGAAAATAAAATGTGAACAAGAAACTTAACCCTGGAAGCTTTATTTATTTTATAATATTAAAAATCTATATATTAATAGACATGCCAAAGTTTAGTTTGCGCAATAAGAATGGAAAATGAGGATGTTTGGAATAATTTGACTGTCAGCCGAACATTTCATTTAGGCCTCTTATTTACTGAGATCCGCTCTCTCATAGAGGATTTCTATTTTTTTAATGATCAGCGTGAAAACTTTTGCGCCAGTCTCAACTTTCGTTCGCTCTAGAGGCGTCGTTCATTAGTTCACGATTTAAGAAGGGATTCAGTGGAAGCGAGTTGGAAAGAAAGTGCTAAGCCTCTCAATAAGATTTGCCTTAAAACTTGAAAATCCTTTTCTTTTAGCACCAGACGTATCTATGAATATTCTACTAATAAATGAGAACTTAAAGAACAAAGCTTGAGATTTATATTCTTTTAAACCTTATTTAGCTTTATTTTCTTATTTATTAAAGCCATTTTCCCCCATGAGCTTTCATTTTTAATTATATTTCTCGAGAAAAACATTGATAGCGGGAGATTTAATATTTTCCTTTTCCTAATCTTTTTATTCCTATTTTTTTTTAAAGCAATAAAGCAACTTGTGAATTCTAATGAATGTAATAAAATAGGTATAAATAATTGAAAATTCCTTTTTATAATACATATATATAGCTATAATTATTTTATTTTAATAGGTTTTTTTTCACTTTTAATACAAAATATTTTACACTTTGATAACAACATTTTGCATTTATTAACATTTTAATTTTTATTATATATTTTAAGATTTTATGTTAAATTTAACGATATTATATATTTTTTATTTTTAGTCGGAATAATTTTATTTTAATTTAATAAATTAAGTAGTGCATTTGAGATTTATATTAAATAAGGTTTTAATAACTGTTAAAAATATATATATATATGTTATAGAACATTGATTTTATTTCGAAATTATAATTTCATAGATCAAACTATTCTGTTAAATCGACCGTTAAGTCGCGCTTTTCCTATATAACCTATTGTTTTTTCCAAATGGCCGGCTAAAACCTTTGTAATTATGTAAATAATATTTTGTTTTCCTTGTTGTACTCGTCCTAAGACAGACAGTACTTTTATCAAATTATGTTTTTTTTATATATCCCATAAGCTCAATTAAAGCTATTTCTAATATTCAATATTTTTATTGTTATAGTTCAGGGTTTTAACCACGAGACTGCATTGAAATAGCATAATCCTCAAGATAATCAAAAATCAAGCAGAAATCACATTATTTTCACAATATATACATATATATATATATGGCGTTGATTTTCTCTCTTCTCTATATTCCCGCTACATGCTGTTTCCCAGCTTAAACCTCTGCTGAATTCAGAGTTTTTATTTCAAATATCTTTTTTTATTTTGAATCAAAGTTTCACACGGCTTCATAAATTATATTATTATTTATATACACATGGAATAAGAAATTTTAGGATATTTTAACCAATAAGTTAACACTTGTGTGTAATGTTTTCATTCAATATAAAAAACGCTATTCAGAACAATATTTATGAAAACATCTGAAGTGTATGCTGGGAAGCAACATGTAGTAGGAATATAGGAAAAATTTAACCCTTTATTAAACACAGTATTTTAATTTACTTGAGAGAAATCTGAAATAGGAATTATGTCTATTGTTTGATTAAAACCAATATGAAAATGTTAAAATACACAACTTTCAATTATATTAAAAACATTATTTGTAAAATTAAAAATATAGTGTAATTGTTAAATTTTAATTCAAATCTCGAAAATCCCTATTAAAATGATAATGTTTCTAAAGTGTAAAAAATTGTCATTTATAAATAAAAAACATTTACATTTACATTAAAATGAATAAGTTGTTATTAATGTGTACAATTTTATTATGCTAAATGTCATTAAAATGTAAAGTAGATATTAATGTGTAAAAGGGTTTCCTAAAGGGGGGTAAAAATATATAAATCCTTTTTATTTCATTGAAAAAATAAATTTCAAAATTGGGAATATAAATATTAAATTAAATATAAAAATTCTATTAATAATCAAAAAACAATTTGTATAACGAAATGTATATATACGTCTTATGTTATTTAGTGAAAATAAATCGAAATTTCCCGGAAGGTTATAAAAAGATTAAAAGAATAACTTGCAAATGTTTAGCGTTACAAGCGTCATGCGTTAAGAAATTGTTATCTAGAGAGGTTCTGCATATTAGGGTAAAGTAGGATTACGTGCTTCTTTTACAAGATGGCAACGTATTGATTATAGCTAATGAAAATAAATGATGAAAAATTGAATTAATAAAGCTGCCAACTTGAGTTAGGTTGAGGGTCTAGAAATAGCTGCGCGGTCTAGAATAGCCGCTAATTACTCTGCTAGCGGCAGCTCAAGAGAAAAATCGTTTTATATTTCGTTGTGAACATTATTATGGACGTATATTTAAGGGTAGGGCTGCTGCTATTTTATTGTTGCAATATAACAAATGATTTTAGAACTAGAACTCTTAATGGAATTTGTTAAACCCGAATACATTCCGTTTATATATAGGCGCTTTTATTTCTGCGCAAAAGTCGAAATCTGCAAAGCAATTTCTAGAACCCATTTTGTAAACGCGTGAACAAAATATCTACTATTCCTAAATTTTCAATTGATGAAAAGAATCAGAGCTTTTCTATTATAAAAAGACCCTTAAAATTTCGATCATTAAAGCATAATTTTTATAATGATGAGTTACAATTTGGATTAAAGATTAGAAACGCAAGGTAATAAGACCAAATCCGAATGAATAAATTGTATGTAACGTTTCGGTGTAACAGCGTTGTTGCCTAATATGTCACACATTATTTATTTATTTAGAATTGGTCTTGTTATTTCCTCGTATCATTTTATAAAATTGGGGTTTCATTAAATTCAGGTTTCTAATTATTTATAGATATAGGTGAGGTTAATCAATGATGGTTATGATATTGCAATCTTTTATCATTTTGTG